CGCTCTTGGCTGGAGCTGCCTCCTACTAATGGTGAGCTTGAGCCAGTCCAATCACATAAATTTGGTTCTATAGAGTTGTCAATTCACAAATTTAGTCAAAAAATATAAGGATGGTATAAGGTGGTGTGATGATCATACATATCATTCTATAACCATATGTATGTTTGTGTAGCTTGCTATGCATTTTAAATTCCACTTCACATACATACTATCTGTTCTCATGCACGAGTAGTTTGTTTAGACTATTTAGTTATTGAGTCCTTGACTCATCCCGTGGTTATATTTTACAGATGAAAGCTCCAATAGAGGCAAGGGAAAAGAAGGTGTGACTGAGCATCAAGGGGCCTAGCTAGTGTTTGTATAGCCCTTTTTATTTCTTTTGGTTTTGTAACGAATGATATATGCATATGCCAACTTAGGAATTATATGTTATTTTAAGAAGCACTTGCATGAATGCTAGGTCTGTTTGGTTTTCCTCCATTTCACATTCAGAAAGTAAAATTTTGCTTTTAGAAAGTTGGAAGTTGTTTGGGTAGAATATTTTACAGGAAAGCACATCTTGAAAATATATTCAAACAGTAGCTGAAAGTGAATTTCTGAAACGTAACTATTTGAAGCTTTTGAAAAGTGGATTTGAAAAGTAGGATGTTATTTGACCATACTACCCTAAGTTTAATTTCTTATTCTTTTATTTAAAAAATAGTTAATTCATTAAAAATATAATTATTATTTTAATAATAATAATTAGGTATCAATTTTTTAGTATTATAAATTGAATAATTAATCATGTTAATTTTTAGCATTAATGTATAATAAAAATTATAAATCTTTACTACATCTTTTAAAATTACAAATTAAAAAAATATAAATAATTAGAGATCAAATTTTTAGCACTATAGATCAAAATTTATGTTATTTAAAATCTTTATTACATTTTTTTAAATATTTTAAATATATTACATTTATATAATAAAAATTATAAATCATTATAAATCAATATTTTTTTTTATAATTGTACATTCAAAAGCACATTTTATTATCACAAACCAAACAACTTTCAATGTATCAAACTGACTTTTAAAAAAATATATTCAAACACAAATTTCGTTACAACAACTGACTTTTACCAAATGAACTTTTGGCAAACTGAAAACCAAACGCACATGCTGTTGTAAAGTGGCGTATCTTGGCTTGGGATATTGTATTTATGTTATAATGGCTGTGAGAGGTCGAGATGCTAGTGCCAATATTATTTTGTATGGATTCATATGATTGTTTAGCTACTGGAATGATTATTATATGTTTGTTATCCCTTATGAGATTTATGCTAAATTGTGTTTTGGGTGGCCAAATCTTGTATAGGATGTTGTTGTTGTGGTTCGAATGCATGTACAAGTTGTTTGTAGTCTATTTGAGTTGGGTCAAGTGATTCTATAATTATTGACACTTGGCATGTAAGTTTGGACACCTTGGTTGTGGTTTTGAAAAGGAAATGCACTGTTTTGGGTTTAGGTGTTCAAATTTCTTTTGGTGTGGTGTTTGAATGTGAGACCAGTGCCAATAATTTGGTAGGCTCTAAGAGCTATATGTGGACACTTGAATCACTCAAATCAAATGTTGGATGGTGAAATGGCGCTCTCTAGAATTTAGCTTGGAGTGCAGTTATAACAGCAATTGCACGCCACGGCGTATTGACACTTACGTCACGGCACAATATACAGAGAGGGATGTTTCCCTCTGTGCAGTTCAACTCGGCGAGGTGAGGCCTGCACTATGGCATACTATATCATTTTCTAGAAAACTTTCCAAAATTGTTCCTTTTGCATTTCTTATGTATATTTTAGGCTCTTATGCTTCCATTATCCTATTTAATTAGTTTTAAATAATAGTTTAAACTCAAATGAATTTTAAAAAGGGTTTTATTGTGATTTTAATTTTTTTTGAATCTTAACCCTTGAGTTATGAAAGCCACTTTAAGGGATTTAAAAGTCCTAGTTGTCATAATGGCTTTCTGTGTTTGGTGTGTTGTGTATTTGGTAATATTAGGGATGACATTACAACATGAGCCTTACTTCCTTCATTGTCACGACTCTTAACCATTTGTGCTTTGCCTTTTACTTTCTTCACCATGGTCTCACCAAGCCGTCTTCATAATTTCGAACCTTACAATACAAGAGACCTTGAGCTTTTGACTCTTGGATGTAACACAATAATATAACGAAGCGCCTAGACTTAGCTTTAAGATTCCAAGGATTAATTGTGATTCAGCCAAGGAAATACCAATAAGGATCACCTTTCACAGACACATTAGCAAATATTTCAATTGTTAGTTTACATGTGCACTTATGCGATCAGTGTTCACCATCTCAAACAAATATAGCACAATTGCACTCATTAATTTAACGTTTAGGGTATTTTCACACTTCTCTCTACTTTATGATACTAGGTGCTTCTAGACAACTAGTTTATGTGTAGATTTGCCCTTTAACCCTAATTTCATTTCAATCCTCTTAGATTGAACTAAAATTTCAGATTTTAATGGTCCTTCTTTATTATTATGTCACATCCTTCATATTTTGTTGAAATTCTCCTAATTTTAAATTGGACAATTGTAAGTTTAAAAGTAAAAACATATTTAACTAAAATAAAGTGATTTCATAACCCTTTCAACTAAATGTTTAACTCACTTAAAATAATTTCAATATTAGCAAATTTATGTTGGTATTTAAAATGGGGACATTTTAGTTAATATATTATTTTTAAAGCTAAACAAAAGATCTATGATCTTAAAATTTAAGTTCATAATTTTATGTAGAGTTATACACAAGTGAGAATGAGCCGCCCATGACTTTACCAATTACTAGCCTATTATTGGCTAAACAAGTGGCCACCAACACATACTTGTATAGACCATTTTGCACTCATTTTAAAATGGGCGCAAACTAGTATTAGCATGTCTGAGCCCGCGTGGCACTTGCAAGTAAAGATGTTCATCGAATTCCAAAACCTTGTAACATGTAACTATAGTCTATACTCTATAATTGCTAGTTGTGTGCAACATAATATTTCAAAAAGAGCCATACAAAGATCCTCACAATTAACTCAATCATCTGCATTCTGCCACCCAAACATCAATCTTTAGATATATGATATATCTAGATAAAATCCACTCTAGCATAAAAAATATTTCCAGACTTGAAAGCATTAACCTAAGAAAAATAGAAGGGAAAAGAGTATAAAAGGGAAGGAGCAATAACCTAAGAAGAAGGTAGGTCAACTGCTTGCGATGGTGGAACTGTGGAGGTGGAGGGAGGAGCTATTTGACTGCGTGCATCTACGACAGTGCGTGCATTTGTAACAATAGAGCTGAAGTCGACGATAGAGGTTGAGCATGGATAAAGGCAAATGATGAAGTTGAATAGGGGCTTAGGGAGTTGAATGGCAAAGTATGGAGTCTCAATACTCGAAAGATATCTTTGACTTTGAATAGAGGAGAAATTGAATAAAGGATTGAGGGAGGCAAGTTAGGGGCTTAGGGCACAGGTGTTTAGGACTTTGGTCTTTTAATGATAGCCGTAGGCACATCAACAAGATGAGGACTGGCCATGTATGAGATATTAAGATGTAAGAAATTAAAATAAATAATAAGTATATACAAGAGAATATGAGCCACCCATTTTTTGACATACAAGTATATACCCATCCACACTCATTTTTCTCCCTTCATGAACAGGTATGGGTTGACTTGTTTGCAATGGATAGGACGAGTATGAACAAGTTTGCAGGTAAAATGTTCACCCCTAATTTTATGATTTGATTGATTATTTGATATTTAGAGGTGTTTACCTATCATTTTATCAAGAACAAACGTACTAATCAAACAAAGTTTTTTAGAGAACATGCTCTTTTTTCGATTCTATTTAACGTACTGGAGCAAAAAAATTGTATTGTTCTTATTTTCTTTTTCATAAATGAGTTTCTTTGTTGACAAAAAAAAAATTGTACTTTCTTTACTTTGGTTTGGCTTAATTAACCCACCATAACTTTTCTCCCGTCATTGTGAGAATGTTTATTACAAACTGTAACTCCAATTCAAGACCCAATAAATTAATTCAATTAACCACGTGGATTCAATGTATCTAGTTCAAATTGCTTTTTTGGAGCAAAGTGTCTGTGGCAAAAAATTAATGGTAAAAGTATATTTTTTATGTTTGAAATATTCTCTGAGGAGCATCCAACACTCTAAATTATTAGTTAGAACAATTTCATCTTTAAAATAATTAAAACGGAGTATTTTGACCTACCGTATAATTTTTAACGTTAATCATTAGAAAATGTTAATTGAAACTTTAATATTGATTATTGAGAATTTAACTGCAAGGGCAAAAACATTTTATTTTAATTACTTTAAGAATAAAAAGCTTATTTGGATAGAGTGTATAATCAATTTTTAGGGCAAAATAATCAATTTTAATAAAAATTACCTAAACAGTCAAAAAATTTAATAATTAATTATTGAGTCAGGATTATGTTTTAAAATAAATTTTAAAAAGTTGTTTATAGATTCAATTTTACTGTTGAATAATATATTTTACTTCTTAAATATAGTTTAAAAAATTTAATTTAATAATATTAAATATAAATTTGTCAATAATTTAATTTTAAAAAGTAATATCATTTATGATAATTTATATAATTAAAATTAATTTTAAAAAATAATATTTAAATAGATTGTATTATAATATAATTAAATATAATCAAAATTAATTATATTAATTAATTATTTTTATAATCAATTATAGCTACTTAAAATCTAAATGTGCCCAAAATGTTTCAACTAATAATTTAACATATAGAGAGTACTTCAATAACAAAAAAAACATTTCTACCAAAAAATTAATATTTTTTCCATGTGATTTGATGTTACCCAAACCGTTTGCAACTTATTACAACCATGTACCATCAATATTCGCACCGCAAAAGCAGTTTATAGCAGCGGACCGATGATAGTGTAACGTTGTAGTAGGAGGCATTTGATTTTGGCAAAATTTCCTCTCGTGATTCGTGACCGCGTCTCGAGTCAACATCGTCGTGTTTATAACAGTAACACCGTCCCACGCAAGGAGGTCCACTTTCTCCCTATCTTTCCCATGACCTCCACCGCGCGCCTCAGACGACTCGGCACGGCCGTCGGAGCCGCCGTTGCCACCGCTTACGGTGGCTCAATCATCTTTCATCCTCCGATCTCTGCCAGTGATCATGGAGGTGGCCCTGCTCACCTTTCCGCCATTCGGCAGAAGATCCACGACCCCTACGCCGTTGTTCCCTCGAGAGACGTCCAGCAATCGGCCTTGATTGGTGCCAGCTCGGCCAATCCTCTCGACATACTTGTTATTGGTGGTGGCGCCACGGGTTCCGGTGTAGCACTCGACGCTGTGACCCGAGGACTCCGCGTTGGTCTCGTTGAAAGAGAGGATTTTTCTTCTGGAACTTCCTCCCGCTCCACTAAGCTCATTCATGGAGGTACAGACGTTCGTACGCGTTTTTGTGTATGTTGCAGAATTATAAGCAATGATTTTTTGGCCAACAATTTTTGGTAATGACTGATCAATGATAAGATCAAATTCAACACTTGCATTTTTTTCCCTCTCAAACTTTGGCTTCTTTAAAGTCTAGCAAAATTCAAACACTTCTGTCATTCTTAATCAAGTTGCCTGCGAATCTTTTTCATGAATGCTCATCCAGTACGTTGATTTTCAGTTGTTGGTGTTTTGCCATGTGGCGATCATATATGTCAATATGAATGTATGTATGTATGTATATCATTTTTCTATTCATATAATGACCGTCAATGTCGTCGTGGTGGCCCTCTACATTACCATGTTGGATGTCTTATAGTCATGTGCATTTGTTTGCACGATGAACATTGATCTCATTTTCTAAAAGAAAATCGTGGTAGAACTACAATCATAAGGGATGACTTATGACATGTAGTTAATAAAACTAAATTCTATAACTGAGGAATGGTTTTGGGATTTTAAATGTAAAAGCATAGAAATCACTAGTCAGAGAAGGTCAGCGGTTATTGTGATTTTAAATCTCGAGGAACTGATTTAAAAATCAAGTTAAACCTATGATAATCAACACAACAATTGTATAGGCTTATTTACTTCTTCGCAATGTAGATACCAAATGCTTGAGTATTACCCTCATGTAGTGGCATTTTATTCATGTTATGTGCCAAGAGGGATTTCTGCTCCTTCGTATTTCAAATATCTTTAGTTGTTTTTCTAATCTTTCAGTGTTTCTGTAAACTATTAGGTGTCCGCTACTTGGAGAAAGCTGTCTTTAATCTTGACTATGGGCAACTGAAATTGGTATTCCATGCACTTGAGGAGCGTAAACAGGTTATTGACAATGCACCACACCTATGCAATGCCTTGCCTTGCATGACACCATGTTTTGACTGGTTTGAGGTAGTGTACTACTGGTTAGGATTGAAAATGTACGATTTGGTCGCAGGAGCACGACTCTTGCATTTATCAAGATATTATTCCGCAAAAGAATCTTCTGAACTCTTCCCTACCCTAGCAAGGGAGGGGAAAGGTAGAAGCTTGAGGGGCACAGTAGTTTATTATGACGGGCAGATGAATGATTCAAGACTTAATGTCGGATTGGCTTGTACTGCTGCATTAGCTGGTGCAGCAGTGCTGAATCATGCAGAGGTTATTTCCTTTCTGAAGGATGATGTTGGTGAGCGAATAATAGGTGCACGAATCCGAGACAGCCTATCTGGTAACAAATATCCCTTCTACTTCAAATAGTTACTAGGGATTAGGTTCATCACTTATTTATATTATTGACAATTTGTCTATCCCAATTTCATTAAGTTTACATAGGTGTATTGAGGGGGATATATATCACTTATTTTAAAGGCACCTGGTGAACATATGACATGATCACACAAATATTCAATTAGATATTCACTTCTAACCTCTCTCCACATGCACATTCTTTCCCCAGTGGAATGAATCACATCAATTGGTTGGAAAGAACCATTAGCTTTATTTATTTTTGAATATAGAATTGCAGGACTTTGCATCTTAGTCAATCAAAAGCATATTTTTGCTTGAATGTTGTTTTTTCTTTTATTTTCTTTTATTTTTTTGATTAAGGTTCATTCACTCAGCAATTATGCACTGTTATGAGAGCAACTGACATACCATTTCTTGCAAATGGAAAGAAAAGTTCTCAGACATATCTCTGTTGGGGGTTTGTGGCCTAGGGAGTGTTCTTGTGAAAAATGAATGCAAATCTTTTTTAAGTGGGTTTGTTAGTTTGCTTGGTCTGGACTTTGTGAGTGGTAGTGATAATCTCAAAACTAAATTTTTTTTTCGTGAAGCTTGGTTACTTTTGCTTATTTAGCATGCATTTCAAATTGTGCAGGCAAAGAGTTTGATACATATGCAAAAGTAATCGTTAATGCAGCTGGACCATTTTGTGACTCTGTAAGAAAATTAGCTGACAAGGATGCACGAGCTATGATCTGTCCCAGCAGCGGTGTACATATTGTCCTCCCTGATTACTATTCTCCTGAAGGAATGGGCTTAATTGTTCCTAAAACTAAGGATGGCCGTGTTGTTTTCATGCTGCCATGGCTAGGAAGAACTGTGGCTGGAACTACGGATTCCAACACCACAATTACTTTACTTCCAGAACCGCATGAAGATGAGATACAATTCATTTTGGATGCCATCTCTGATTACCTGAATATTAAAGTACGGTATCCCTTAAATACAATTTATTTTGAAAAAATTTCTTTTGTTCCTTTTTTCACCTAATGTTAGATTTGGACTCTATGTCAAATGTACATTTTTGGTTTACTATTTTCTTGCCATTATTGAGGGAAAAAAGAAATGCGTGTCGGATATCCATTGGATTGATTCATACAAGAGAAAGTGAAGCCCCCTCTTCTTCTTCTTCTTCTTCTTCTTCTTTACGGGTCATGAAGTTTAAATTATGATTAAATTCAAGGCAGAAAGTGGTAGTGAGAAATCACTCAATCTAGGTGGTGTCATTCTTTTTAATTTTTTTACAAAGTCTGCTTGTGTTTAGACTAAAGAATGCAGGGAAATTTTAGGTAAGACGGACAGATGTGCTTTCTGCTTGGAGTGGAATTCGCCCACTAGCAATGGATCCATCAGCCAAAAATACTGAGAGTATTTCCAGGGATCATGTTGTCTGTGAGGATTATCCTGGTTTGGTTACTATAACTGGTGGAAAGTGGACTACCTATCGCAGGTAAATATTGAATGGGCCAAGCTTGCATTTCTTTGTCGGAAGTTTTTCTTGATGTGTCTACTCTCTAGCTTGGCATTTTCTTAGTCACATCGGTCATTTAGTTACTCCATTTTGCAAGTATTATTTCTGCTTCCCTTTGTTATTTTCTTTCCTTCTCGTCCTCTTACTCTTGCATCAAACTTTTTGTTACACCCATATAGTTTACTTACCTCAGTATGTTTCAGCATGGCAGAAGATGCAGTTGACACAGCTATTAAGTCTGGAAAGCTGAATGCTGCTAGCAGATGTTTGACCAGCAATCTGCGTCTTGTTGGTGGTGAAGGTTGGGATCCAGCACATTTTACCATTATTGCACAACAATACATGCGCATGAAAAGAACACATAGTGGTAAAATTGTTCCTGGAGTAATGGACACTGCTTCAGCAAAGCACTTGTCTCATGCATATGGAATATTAGCTGAACGTGTGGCTGCCATAGCTCAGGTTGGTTTGTATTACTACTATATAGGCCTCTAGGAGTATTTGGACCAAGAAATTTTGGTATCTTTTGTTGCCTTATGTTATGTTATTTGTATTATGTAGATTTATAAGATCTTGAGCACCAAGCATAACCAGTTGCATGTCAGCACCATTGATTTATTTGGTGTCACCGCCGGTTTGATTTAGAAACTGTAGCTATAACCATTGAAATGCTTGCATTCCGATAAACATGTATTGCCTTTTGCTTTGTATTTTTTTGTTGGTTCAGTTCTCGTGTTATAACTTATAACCTTACGGTTCGCCTAGGTTTAGTTTGAAATTCATCTGATGATTTTTTTCAAGTTTGGTTGAGTTTGTCTCTTTTACTTCATAAATTGGGCAACAGTTACAGGTTTTGCCTGAATGGCACTGTTTACATGTCTCTTTTACTTCATAAATTGGGCAAAAAGTTACATATTTTGCATGAATGGTACTGCCTCTTCCTATTAGGGATGAGATGATGGTCTAAGTCAGAAACTCGTGTAGCTGATCTTATCACGCACGAAACAAGGCATACAGCATAGCCATTTTCTTTAAAATAGCTTTTGATTCCGGTCATTGTACTATATTAGTATATTTCTTAAAGTATTCATGTTGTAAATGCGTGATGTAGTAAGAAACTTTATCTCACCTGCATTCAATAATAAATATTTTTGCTGTAGTTGTACTTTAGAATTTTATCTTATTTTCTTGCACTTGTGGCATAGATATAAAAAATTACCCCTTTTCTTATTCGGGATTGAGCTTCTACGTCTCATATTGATAAAATCTCTTTTGGAATTATTTTATGATTGTTGTGCTGGCGTGAAACTTCGCTACGTTTAAGGATACCTGAAGTACTTGTAACTACAATCTGAATCAGCTTGCTGTAAATTATAAACATGTGACATTATGTTATAGAAGCTGATCACAATATTGGGATGTTGCGAGGTCATTGGTCTACTTTAGTTGAATTGAAGTTCAAAAGCCAATGGTTTTAATCATGTCATCTTGTATTATATGATAAAATTATCACCCTTAATCATGGTCTGTAAGTTTTGATTAATTTTATGTTTTCATCTTGCGGCTAATTGTTTTCTTCTCTCTTATTGTTTTAATGCTAGAATGAAAATCTTGGTAAGCGACTTGCCCATGGCTACCCGTTTCTGGAGGCCGAAGTGGCCTACTGCGCACGTCATGAATATTGCGAATCTGCTATTGACTTCATTGCAAGAAGGTCTCGTCTGGCATTTCTTGACACTGATGCTGCAGGACGGGCATTACCTCGTGTTATTGAAATATTGGGTGCTGAGCACAAGTGGGACAAATCAAGGCGGAAGGAAGAGTTGAAAAAGGCTAAAGAATTCTTGGAGACTTTCAAATCGTCAAAAAACGCTCAGTTCCATGATGGAAAACACAGTTAGGATGTGGTTTCGTCATCTAACCCTGAGTCACATATAGAGAAATTTCTCGGCCCTTTATCACTGAGTCCGACACTTCTTGGGTCCAAAAGGGACAAACAATTATATTTGTTACAATTTATTATTTCTCAATAAAATTCTCAGGTTCCAGACTAGAACGAGCTGGGAATATTTTCCCCATCGTGGCAAGAATTTACCAATTATCTTCAACAAAAATTTAGCTTTTGTGACGTTGTGTCTGTGGCTATGTGCGCTTTGTTATTCATTTGCCTGCTACAGAGAAAATTATCATGCTTAAATCATGGAGTTGCGGTGAAAGAATTTTGATTTGTTGACCGGGTGAGGCTTTTTAAGGGGAACCCTATGTTTGTTTGGTAAGTTTTCGTCCTGTTATACATACATAAATGCAAATCTCTGTACGAGAGTAGAAATCTAAAGATAGTAAAATTCAACCTCTCGTGTAGCAACAATACCCTTCTTCATATGCATGTCTATGTTTTAATGTATGATTTGGTGTTTTGAAAGTGATTGTGCACATGGTCAATGCCTGAAGAATTTAAAGACTATACAATTCCCTTCTGTCTTTTGTTTTTTGAGGGGGGGGGTTGGTTTGGGGAATGCAGCTCTTCCCATAGAAATTTTATTTTATTTGTATGTTTACCTAAAAAGAAAATACACACGTTTTAGAGTAGCCTATAAGTAATTCATTAATTTTTGAGATTTCGGCTGGGAATATATAACAAAAAATTAATATATAATTTGGATTTTGAATTATACTTTAAAAGATGATTTGAATCTTATAATTAGTTCATTTTGAATCCTAAAAGTTAAAAGCAGTGCATGCCTCTCCCCACCATTAATTTGAAGCTAATGTTATTACTTTTTAAATATAGTGGGGCTGCATTCTCACTTTGTCTGCATCTCTGCCTCTTTCCTCCCCCTCTCTCTCCTCTCTTTTATTTTTTTTTATATTAAGGGAAAAGAAAACAAAGAAAATACAAACAGCAAAGCAAAAGAAATACGCCCATGGAGGTCTAAACATAAAACATATCTCCACGAGCCAAGTATTCCTCGGAGAAAGGAATAGAATCTTAAGTCATGTTTGGTACATTAGAATTGGTCCAAGAAAAATGAAATTGAAATTAAAATCATGCTTTCAATTATTTGATATGCATGAATCCAATTCCTTATGTTTCAATTCTACCAAAATACCTAGAATTCAATTCCATCTCCATCATGATGGAATTGCCACAATTCCATGGAATTGTCATAAGTGCCCCACATACACACTCCATCATGATGGCTATGTTTTTTATTTTTTTTATAAGGACATTTTAGTCTTTATCTATTTTAAATACATATATTTATTAATATTATATTCAGATTCTATCTTTATACCAAACATACATTTATAACTCAATTCAATTCTGATTCCGATTTCGATTCCATCAAAAACTCTTCCATCATACCAAACGAGGCCTTAGGTGACATCCAGTGCCTGGTTAGCTAAGCCATCAACTTCAAACGTTGGGCTGTTGAGGAATATAGCTGAGATCAACTTCCCAGTCGTGATCCAACATGGACCTAGCTTCCAATATCTCATTCTCATGCATCTCAATCTCTCCACTCGGCTACAGTCGCTAAACATCCTGCACTTTCTCGTTCCTTGTTCCCAAGCACTTTTGAACCCCATTAAGCTCGCCCATATCTCAGTAGCCAGTGCATCCCCAGTTTGTAGTTGAAACATGAACGCCCCTGTCGCACTACCTTGTGGATCCTTGAATACCCCACCACTAGCTGCCTTTCCAGTGCTACTTGAGAACGCCCCATCTCTCTCTCTCTTCTCTCTTGCTCTCTCCGACGTCGATGACTTCCTCTGGAAAAAGGAAGACAAGTGGTTGTAGTGATCTGAGTCGTATCAGCACTTCATCGGTTGATCATGGCTGTGGTTTGTTCAGCAGTGACGGCTATGACGACCAACCAAAGCTCTAGTTTCGTCTTCCAGAAGCGAGATGCCACCTCACGATGGGGTGGTAGAAGAAGAAGAAGGTGGCGTGGTGAGTGGCAGGCAATGGTGTCGCCGTGAGGGTACAATGGGGTGGAGGGTGGAAGGGAAGGTGAGAGAGAGCATGGCGATGGTGAAGAAGTCGGAGGATCCGTATAGTGATTTCAGGAGGTCGATAATGGAGATGATAGTCTCACGACTATTATCGCGACTGGAGGATGATAGTCTCACGATGATGGAGATGATAGCACTACTTCAACGTCTTCTTCTGCTTCATGGTCTCTTTAGAGCAAAGAGCAAGAGGAGCGAGAGAGATGGAGGGAGCCAGAGAAAGAAAAGGTGACAATGTGGACCTCAGTATATTCAAAAGTAATTTATATTAACTGTAGACATGGGATATATCAACTTTAATTGTTTAAAATTTAAAATATATGAATTATAAATATATGGTTTAAATTGTTGCTAAATCTGTAATTCTGAATAATATCATTAAAAGATCTTAAAAGAATTTAATATTTAATAAGGGCTTTGAACAAGTAAACATTAATAATTAATAAGTAAAATTTAAATTTTAATAAATATTCGATTTGTTCACATCTTTATTTGATATTAAATTTTTTTAAGGGTCATTTATTAATATTCTCTCTAAAAATAATTAATTTGTTATTTGCGCTTACAGCTATGTATTTTCCTTTTTCAAGAACATAGTGCACTTGTAATTCTTGTTTTTATCTTATTATTGTAAAAGCTAGTAGGTTGGCATTTTTTTTTTTGAAAAAAATCTTTTGTTCAGCTTGTTTAGATATTCCTTTTGTTAAAAAATATGAAGTATTTTTAACTGAATCTCATTTCTTAATAAAGTAATCACTTATTTTTAAACTAATCATATTTTTTTATATTTACCTCTATTAAATACTCTACAATAAATATAAAATTATTCATCAAGAAGAACACTTTTAAAAAAAATTAATGATTACATCTCAAAAAACTAAAAATATCTTATATTTTTTAGCATCTAACTTTTTAAAAAATATTTTATATTCTTAAACAAAGATAGTATAAAATAAAACAATTATATGTTGTATATATTGTGACACCGTTGCTACCAAAAATGCTTTTTTAAAAAGTAAGGTTAAAATATAAAATATTTTTCTAAACTTTAAAATAGTTGCCTAGAATTCTCTTATCTTTAAAAATTTAATGTTAACTTTCCTAATCTTTTAATGTTTATCAACATACTTGCTTACTGTTATTTATTAGTTGTATTAATAAAATAAATTGATATGTTATATTAACAAAGATACGTGACAATTTATGTGATATTCAATATAAACTAATAATGATTGTATAAAAATTTTATTCACATATATTTATGTTATTATTAATTTATATTGGATATCACATAAGTTGTAACATGTTTTTTTTAAAATTGGGGGCTGGTCTCTGCCTCTGCTAGTTGTCCATTAACCCCCAAAAATTTCCTTCATATTATAATTATTTTCACGTTATTTTGGCGGTTCATTTATGTTTCTCACTTTCTATCCTCTCATTTCAGGCTCTTGTGTACTTACTCATAGAAAGAGGAAGAGAAAAAGAAAAATAATTCAATTTTTGTTCTAAGTAGGAATAGTGAGATTTTTAATCTTTTAAACTTACAAATTAGTTTTTAATTTAATTTTTTAAGTTTAATTTTTATTGATTTAATCCTTTATATTTTTTTTAAATTATGATGGTAGTCATTTCACTTGTAAAATGTAAATTTATTCTCAAATTGATGATTTGATAACTTCACATGCATGTATAATTAAATGAGACAAAAAAAAAAAAAAACAAAGTCGAAGTTTGTTGAAGAAATTCAATTACATGAAATGGTTTGGGTTCAGCCAACAAAAATTGGACGAGTTGGAGAAATTCAAGCCCGTTCTAAGGTGGGCTGATACGATCCCCTCCACTCCACTCAATCTACCAAAAAAGTGAGCTGGCTGCCTTTTTTTTTTTAAAAAAAAAATGTTTTGATTTAAATTTTTTTTCCCTAGAATTTCCACTTTCGACAAGGTTAATAACATTTTTAATTTCAGTGTCCAGCATCCATCGATTCAATTTCCAAAATATGATTATATGTGAAATTACATATTACATGGCATTCATATAAGTTTTAAAATTACACTTTATGTTGGATCTCCTGTACAAACATGTGTTTGGGCACAAACTAGCTCAACGTTTCTTTTTTTTTGTAAAAATGAACAATTTTCAGTTCCTACTTGTGATCAAGAGGCCCATAGTTCTATCCTAAAAGCCCAGCCCACTGGCTCTTCTTTTCAGTTAGCTTCCCTCTGTATTATCGTCCTCAATCAAAATTGGCTTCTTCTGCAGTAGCAACAGCAATGGCTGCACTACCATCCCTCTCTTTACAATACTTCGCCAAAACATTCCTCACACACACTTCATCATTTCGCATGCTTCATCGTCTCACTTGTTCCTTCTCTACTTCTTCTTCTTCCTCGTCTTCCTTAGAATTCGACATTTCCTTCGCGCCCTCTAAACACAAGCCCAAGCTTGAATCCAAGACCACCGAGGCAGACCCAATTCCTGACGACGATGACGCTCCCGGTGGAGCCGGGCAGCTCTTTATCCCCTGGATTGTTCGTGGCGAGGATGGTAACCTCAAGCTTCAAGCTCACCCTCCTGCGAGTCTTCTTCAGGCCGTGGCCGATTCTGAAATTGGTCCTAAGAAGAAGAAGAAGAAGAAGAAGCAGAAAGCTGAAAAGAGTACCTCGGAGCCGAAGCACTCCAAGGCAGCCCGAAGGTTCTACAACGAGAATTTCAGAGACTCGGGGATGCGGTTAAGTAAGGTTCTTGCCGCTGCCGGAGGTAATTCCGTTGTCATTCTTTGTTACAGATGGAAGTCCCTGTGAAGATCAATTCAACTTCCATAATTTGACCGTTGCCCTCAGTAGTGCTATCTCTAATCACGAGTATATATAGCTCTTAACTTTATGTAATTATATGTGTCTGTGTGTCTTACACTTGTCAGGTTATATTTTTGTTTTCAGTTGCATCCCGACGGAGTAGTGAGGAACTTATATTTGAAGGCACGGTTACTGTTAATGGCTCTGTGTGTAATACTCCGCAGGTTTGTTTCCTCTATGTCAACTACCATGGACTCCTCAAAATTTGGGCAGGAGAGAGGAAATGATTCATCAAGAGTATATTTTATTTGCTGTTTTCTTAATAGCATTATGGAAAAAGCCATTCCTAGGATTTTCCTTTATTATGTTTCATATCGTATTCAATTATTATTTAGTGGTTTTATGTCGTTGCTTGTCAAATGCAGACTAGAGTTGATCCTGCAAAGGATGTCATCTATGTCAATGGGAACCGCCTTCCTAAGAAGCAGCCCCCAAAGGTGTATTTTGCCTTGAACAAGCCAAAAGGGTTTGTTGTATGAATATCCTTTTTTAACTGAATTTATAATTTTGGTTCACGCTATGGCCACCTACAATGTGACACAATTGTGCTTTGACAGGTACATTTGCTCGGCTGGGGAGAAGGAGTCTAAATCTGTAATAAGTTTATTCGATGATTATTTGAAGAATTGGGTATGTGCAAATTGGGATGTATCAGTACTTGTAAACGTCTGTTTTGTGCATTATGATTAGACTCAAATATGCTTGAATTCTAATTTACCATCACATATGGGGGGCTTTGGTTTCTCCTTTGTTGTTCTAAGCATCTCTGATATTTAAAAAAAAAAAAAAATCATTTCCAGGGTAAAAGAAATCCCGGAGTACCCAAACCACGGCTATTTACTGTAGGGCGCCTTGATGTTGCAACCACTGGGTTAATTATTGTGACTAATGACGGTATGTAAAGCAACCTAGATTCCCTAAGTTCATTTTAGTTCGGGTCATAAATCAAATCTAAACTTCAACAATTTCCATCTAAGTGCATACACGTCGATGCTTATTTGCAGGTGATTTTGCTCAGAGACTTTCACACCCATCATCTAATTTATCAAAGGAGTGAGTGTTTTCTCATTGGTTTTTGTTCTTGTATTGTTTTTTGTATAATTCCATGGATGAAGAACTCTTCGTTCCTATCTCTCTAATATTGTCACGTTTTGTTTTGCCAGATACATTGCAACAATTGATGGTGCAGTTCATAAGCGGCACCTAATAGCCATAAGTGAGGGAACAACTATTGAGGGCCTTCACTGCGTACCTGATGTTGTGGAGTTGCTTCCACATCAGCCAGATGCACCTAGAGCTCGTCTTCGTATTGTGGTATGTTTCGTCACTCTTCTTGTGGTTTTGATTTTGTTCACTAGATCATTTTTAGTACAGACGTAGTTTAACATATTTTTTGCTGACTGTGTTTGAAACTTCAATATTTAGTCCTTAAACAGAACTTTTATTGGACTGGGTTTTTCAGTTGAAAACTCTTTATAATCAGTCAATATTGAATAATTTCAGCATCTCTTCTTGAGACATTTGTAAGAACTCCAAAACGAATGGCCTGGATTGATTAATGGTAATCCTTTTTTCTTGTTGTCCTTAGATTGCTTACTCATTTTTGGCCATCAGTGGCAAATTGTGTATATCTATTATGCATAGGATTTGTGGTTAAGATTTAACGGATAAAACTGGAGACTGACATCCTCATCATTCAAGATGGCTTCACTGGAATCTGTTGGTTTATTTTGCTCTGTTTGCTTGTTAAGCATGTAACTTTTATGAAAATGCAGAAAGCTGAACCCAAATATTCTGTTTGCTTGTTTGGATTCTTGTAGGTTCATGACGGGAGGAAACATGAAGTTCGTGAACTTCTGAAGAATGCTGGGCTTGAGGTTAGCTTTAACAATGTGAGATCCATTTGAAATGCATGGGTTATAAGCACCATGGTTATAAGCACCGAGAACGACGTCACATGTCTAATCTATTTATTTTTAGACTAAATTGCACATACTTTTCACGTGTTTTGCTGAAATTACTCAAATCTTCCTTGAAACAAATTGTACCCAACACTTTAGTCCATTTTTTAATGAAACTAAAATACTCTTCCTTTAACTTATTTTAGATAGTGCTTGGATGGGTGGTTTTGAATTTGAATTTTAAGTTTTAAATATCAAATTTAAAATCTCACATTTAAGATCCATATATTTAAAATTCTTTTTAAATTCGTTTTTTAAAAAAATGTATTCAGGTTTATGGAGAATATTTAGACAAAAATTTAAATCAGATTTAAGTGTAGAGTAAGTTCCGGTTTTTGAGGATGATTGTGTATGCTTTGAAAATAAAAGAAGAGGTGTCTGTAATTTGAACAAAATTCAGAAGTTTTTGTATGAACCCTTACTTCTATTCTTGGGAGCAACGACTTATTTTCCTGTTTGTGTTTTCTGTTCCAGATTCATTCGTTAAAGCGAGTGCGCGTTGGCGGTTTTAAACTTCCATCAGATCTCGGGTTATAATCACGTTTTAATTTTAGTTCTTAACCAGACCGTTCTTTAGTATATGTAGCGCCATGCGATTGGCATTTGAATTATTTTTCACCTCTTATGTTTTCAGGATAGGGAAGCACATTGAACTAAAACCCACAGATCTGAAGGCATTGGGGTGAAAGAGTTGAAAAAGGTTGCTCCTTAATTGCTATAGCTAAAAATATTACTTCGACTGGTCGTTTCAGCCAAAGGCAACTCCGAAGCTAACATTTCAAGAAGTTGAAAGTGTGAATCCCGGTTTCTTTCTTGAAACTGTTTTGGGAATAGGACTGAGAAGTGCTTGATGATATCTCATGCTGTGATGCCGATGAGATGCTCTCAAAACAAAGCTATCTATCTACCTATGGAAGAGTTTGGAGAAGATTTTAGACTAAGAAATGATATTATGGCCTTTTTGTCAATTTGAATGATGATGTTAATGTACTAAATGTACCAGAGATGATGAACTATATATGATATTTGAACTGTAGGGATACAGTAAAATTTGCCAATTCAAGAGGGACATGAAGTCATCATCCCTGTATTAGGAATGGATAAAGGTGTGAATTTAGTCATGTGTTATTTTTTTTCAGAATATTCTATAGCCTAAACTGTTAAGTCATATGAAATAAACAATGAATTTTTAAAAATGGAGTATTTAGTAGTTTGTCATTAATTTCAGTTGATGTATGTCATGTGGGATTCACAATGATACATGGCACTTCACGGGCACTTCACATCAGAATGTGTAAAAATATAAATTTAGCCACGAACTATTTTTTCAAAAAGCACTGGATAATTTTTACTATAAAAAAACAAACTATCCAACATTATTCCATCAATTTTGACAAAACACTACTTATTTTTAGATTTGTGAGATTCATAACATGTCAATTTTTTCAATTTTCTTACCTTTATTCTTAATTTTAGCTCTAGAAGAAAAGATTTAAAAAGTTTTTATTTGAAGACATTCACAAAGGCGATGCTAAGAAAGTAGAAAAAAGTAATTCGTGATTAATTTAAACTAGAATCAAGCACCTTCCACATGTAATAAAATCAAACTTCTACTTTTTATTGTCATTGTTTTCATGAATATCGTTAGATCAGAACTTTTTGAACCTCTTCTTCTCAAGCTGATATTGAGAATGAAGGCAAAAAAATTAAAAAGATTGATTCATTGCGAATCTTATAAGTATGAAAATAAACTATGTTTAGTCAAAATTGAGAGAAAAGTATTGGATGACTCATTTTAATAGTAGAATTTATCTAGTGCTTCTTGAAAAATAGTTCGTAGCTAATTTTGCACTTTTATACATACTGACGTGAAGTGCTCGTAAAGTAACATATGTCATTGTGAGCCTCACATAACGGCTGTCAATTAAAGTTAATGTAGGGCCATTGAATATTTTGTTTTTTAAAGTTCATGATTTATTTTACAACATCTAATAGTTTAGGTTACCATATGCTCTTGAAAAAAATAAAATATGATCAAATTTACACCTTTATTCTATCAAAAATTATTCTCGTACATTTTGGCCCCCTAATAATAAAAATTATTATAAGAAAATTTTGATTCTATGCGATGGTCTGTTATGATTAATAACTAGCAACGCATCCGTGTCTCACGAATATTCTTGATTTTTATGTAAATTAATATTATAAAAATGAATGTGTTATGTACAATATTGTAATAATTATCGCGGCTCGCGCGCCTTGGTAACAGAAGGGTAGCTAAGTCGTTTAACATTGTAAAATATTGACACCAAAGCACCATGGTCCTTGCACAAAGGGAGAATCACAGAGAAATTTTAAAAAAATTAATTAATTTAAATTAAATTTTAAGTGTTAAATTTTAAAAATTTATAATTAAAATTTTTTTTTATAATTATACTGTGATAAATTTATAATTTATATTTTAAATTTTAATAAAAAAATAAACTTTTATATTTTTTAATAAAGTTAAAATTTAAAAAATAAATTATAAATTCATCACAGTATAATTGTAAGATTAAAAAATTAAATTATAAATTTTTAAAAATTGATAGTCAAAACTTAAATTAATTTTAAAACCTCTTTTTCATTTTACCTTAGATAGATTGTAGAGGCTGATGGACAATTAGTTGGCTCGAAAGGTACTTTTGGCAATTTTTCCTCTAGAAGTGCATGTTGAGTTATTGACTAATTAACTTCACCGTTTGTTATCACACCCATCTTTCACTTGAGGATGAAATTTGTAGATAAATGACAACAGATTCTGAAACCCGATCCTTGTATCAATGATTGGCAAATAAAAGATGCTTCAGGTTTACTCTGCAATTCCACCCTATATTCCTTCTCATCCACCTCTTCCAGAAATTCTCAAACTCAAAACCGATCTTCTCGGAAACTTCAATTCGCCATTTGAGCTCAAACAGCTTCACGCCCTTCTCATTAAAACCCACACTCCTCTCTCTTCTCTCCCTCTCACTCGCGTCGGCCTCGTCTGTGCTCTCAGTCCCAGTTTTGCTTATGCCCAACGGATTTTCCAGACCGTCGGAAAGCCACAAATTGTTGTGTGGAACTCGTGTCTTAAGATCTTCGCTGAAGAAAATTCACCCCAAGACGCCATCTTCCTTTTCTATCACCTCCGTCAGGTCGATGTTCTGCCCGACGATTTCACGTGTTCGTTTGTTCTCAAGGCGTGTGCGAATTTGTTGGACATTCTTAATGGCAGAATCGTTCATGGTTATGTGGAGAAACTTGGTCTTCAGAGTAATTTGATTCTACAGAATATGATTCTTCATCTTTACGCCTTGTGCGGTGCAATGAGTGATGCTCGGCTTCTGTTCGTCAAAATGCCTCAAAGAGATGTTGTTACCTATAATATAATGATAAGCCAATGGATCAAGGCTGGGAATCTTGATATGGCTTATGATTTATTTTCTAAAATGTCTCAGAGGAATGTAAGGTCATGGACATCAATGATTTCTGGGTTTGTACAGTGTGGGAGATCAAAGGAAGCAATTCGTTTATTCTTGGAGATGGAGAGGGAAGGTCAGAGGCCAAACGAAGTGACAGTAGTGGCTGTTGTTTCAGCTTGTGCTGATTTGGGTGCATTGGATCTTGGCAGAAGAGTCCATGAATACTCAAATCGAAGTGGGTTTCATGAAAATGTCCATATTTCCAACACATTGATTGACATGTACGTAAAATGTGGGTGCTTGGAGGACAGTTACAGAGTTTTTGAAGCCATGCGAGAAAGAACTATTGTGTCATGGTCAGCTATGATTTCAGGGTTCGCAATGCATGGACAAGGAGAGAAGGCTTTAGAACTGTATGGTACAATGATTAGATCAGGAATGAAACCCAATGATGTAACTTTCGTTGCACTACTTCATGCTTGTAGTCACATGGGACTGGTAGACAAAGGTTGGGAGTTTCTAACCAGCATGACCAGGGATTATGGCATAGAACCTAAAATTGAGCATTATGGTTGTATGGTTGATTTATATAGTCGTGCAGGCCTCCTAAAAGAGGCTCACGAGTTCATTGTAAACATGCCTATGGCGCCCAATGGGGTTGTATGGGGTGCTCTGCTCGGTGGATGCAGAGTTCATAAGAACATTGAATTAGCTGAGGAGGCAATCAGACACATATCTGAACTGGACCCACTTAATGATGGGTACTATGTTGTTTTGTCGAATGTTTATGCAGAAGCTGGACAATGGGAAGAAGTGGTGAAAATCAGGAAGCTGATGAAACATCAAGGCGTGAAGAAAACACCAGGATGGAGTTCAATCACCATTGATGGGGTGGTTCATGAGTTTGTAGCCGGGGACGGGAGTCATCCTGAAGCTGAAGAGATATTTGGAATGTGGGAACAGTTACTTGTTAAGATGAAGTTAAAAGGATACGTGCCAAATACTTCAGTTGTTCTTCTTGATGTGGAAGATAGAGAGAAGGAGAAGTTCCTTTTTCGCCATAGTGAGAAATTGGCTCTTGTTTTCGGGTTGATGAAATTGCCACCTGGAGTGTCAATTAGGATAATGAAGAACCTTCGTATGTGTGAGGATTGCCATGCTTCTTTTAAACTAATATCGGCCATTGAAAATCGACATATTGTGGTGCGTGATCGTAATAGATTTCATTGTTTCGAAACAGGGGCTTGTACATGCAGGGATTACTGGTAGTTAATGCATGACCTTTTACTTGCGTTTCCATGCAAGAGAGTTGAAAGAAATATTTATTCCTCAGCTCTAGGGATTGTAGGTTGGGATATGCTTGACAGTTCTTGTCATTTTCCAAGACTATCATAATATTTAGAGTTGGACCTAGTAAATCTATTCACTCAGTAAGCATCTCACATTACACAATAAAAACCATTTAATTTAATCAAAGTACTATAAAAAAATTATGTAATATTCAAAAAATATTAAATCTCAAATATTTGAAGGGACAACATAGCAAAAAGCGTTTTGATAATAAAAATTGTTTTAAATATTTTAATCAAAATATATCCAAAATTTTCAAGTTTTGATAAAAATTAATAACCATAATTGAAACATTCATCGAGTGACTAAATTTAGATCATTCACTAAATTTAAATCCATACATTATCTAGAGGTTCCAGAAAAGTGTAGGCTGGGATGATCTAAACTCAGTTTTTGTACTGCTCATTTGTAATGAGATCCTTTCATTATTCACACACACATCCATTTAATCCATTCTCGCGCCACCCCCAATCACAAGATGCAACTGTCAAATGTCAAGTTTTGGAATTTTATTGTCAAAGATGTTCTCAAACTTTGGCTGAAACTTAATAGCTAAATATGTGAACCAAGTTTATTGAGAAATGCCATCTTATAGTGATTCACATGTACGCGTTTTGTTTGAAGAAAATATCGACAACATTCTCCTTAAACATGGTCGAGTAGTTACAAGAAGGAAGCAGAGACAGCTTGAACATGAAGAGATACTCAACCCAAAAGGAAAGCAAAGGCATAAAAAATTGACGTTTCTCATTAAATTACATTACATTACAAACAAATGATGGAAAACAATGGAACAGCTATCATGGAGAGCGAAAACATGATCAACTCTTAAATAGTGGGTGGCAATATTGACTTGTGGCTTCAAAGGGGCAAAAATGACATATACATCCACTTGGCATCAGACTCAGAGATAGGATCAGAGGTTCATTTGATGCCAGAACCCATCAAGTCCAAAACAAACTCTGGAATATAAACAGATGAATGCATATATACTACAGTGATAAAATTTCGGATGCACGATATTGTGCATCAGGTGGTATCTCCCTCCCTGGGACCTGGACCTTTAGAAGGTTACCATACCTGTAGAAACAACGTCATCATAGTCGAAGAAAGAAAGAAAGCAATATGAAAGTAGAACAACTACAGCTGGCATCAACTTACTCGATGGCAGTAAACAAGTGCTTATGTTCTGTAACGAAGGCAATCAAGGCCTGCAATGGGTAAATTAATAATAATGATTAACGAAACGAAATGGTGTTACGAGAATTACTACGGCATGAAGCCGATAGTTCAGTTGACTT